GTGAGGCGTGGGTGTTGGAGACGGAGGCGGAGTTGGAGTTGGAGTTGGTGTTGGCGTTGGTGTTGGGTGGGTTAGGCTGGAAGATGCCTGTCGACGACTGTTTGTCAACGAGGCGTCTGCTGCTGTGTTGCTGCTGGTCGGTAACGACAAATACTTGCAAATATTATTATTATTGTAGTCGAATTTCCAGCAACTATTTATCATGCGGGCGCAACAGCCCCAAAGGGCAGCCCAACAATCGTTTGACAAACTTAATTTATTAATGTACAGACGCTTGACAACAAGTAAATGGCGGAGATTGGGACGGAAACGGCAGCAATGGCAACAGCGGAGGCTGTATTCACACACACACACACACATACACACAGTCGAGTCGTCTTGCTTAAAAGCACATTAATTTTCATTCCATTTGGTGATAAGTAAAAGCTGACTTTGAATTCTATTTTAAATATCAAGTGACAACTAGCAAATACTCGTAAAGTATATTATGCCTTGGGTTGGCTTGCCTTTGGCAGGAAGTCCAGGGAATTTTCTCGTAATTGTTTCATCATGGAGCAAGCTTCGCTCGACCCCTCCCGCCCCGGCGACCCCTCGTGCCCTGTGTCGCCTCACACAATGAGTTGCCATTGAGGCAGAAACGTAGCTGTCATGCAGCTCATTTGCATACTTTTGAGTGGCGCTCATCATAATATGAAATAGGGCATGCCTCCTCTACGCCGCCTTCGCTCCGCCCCCCGCACACTTCATGGCAGCGTCTTCAATTTCTTGGCGTCCAGCTGACAGGCAAATACCGTGGCAAAAATGAGCCTCAGTCGACGTCGACTTGGACTGAGCCCTGAGCCTGGGCAATTTCAACTGAATGCCACTGATTGATATGCATGCGAAATCTAAGCATCACTTGGCTTTATTTATTGACAGGCAATTTCGGTTCGCAGCCAGCATTTCAATTTGCCCAATTGACAGCCAAATCAGCGCCCAGAATTATCTGAGCCCAATAGTGGCAATAGGCAAATGTGAATCGATGTATACCTGTTAGAAACTGGACAAAGTTATGAGAGAGAAACTAGGCATATGCAAGCTGGTAAACTATTGAATGGAAATTTGTTGTGAATTGCAAATTTGTCAGAGTAACGCAAAATGTATGTAAGGTTTAAGATTTCAAATTTCCAATTAATTCTAAAAAATTTGATAAGGGTTGTAAAAAATATAAACTGTACGAATTCAGGTTAGGGCAGAGAGAGAGAGAGAGAGAGAGAGAGAGAGAGAGAGAGAGAGAGGGAGAG